TTTTTTTCAATCGATATGCAGTTATTTTCGTGTAAAATTAATACGGGGCCACTCGTATCGGTCTATGTATTGATAATTGTTTCGAAATTGTTCACACGCAATTAAATTATTAATTCCTGTTGTAAATATCAAATTAAGTTTGTTTAGTTGATTGTAAAATTTAATGTTTTAAATTGTTAATGTTTATAATACATTATTTTAATGCTCAAAGATAACAGTCTTTAATTGTTTAACCTTCTGCGAAAGAATCACTATAATTTATTACTGTTCACGCCTCGAATAGTCGCTTCAGTGTGGCAAAAAAGTATTCCGCCCTCAGCGATGGTCAGCAATAGCCGAGCTGCTCCATCCCTACGAACCGTTTCGGCCAGGAGTATTCAGAGCTCAAAAGGTTAAATACAATTCCTGTTCCTCGAATGTAGACAAATAGCTGACCGAGTGTTGCCAAGTATGTAGATGCTAAACCGTTAAATGCTGCTGGTAAAGCAGAGAAAAGTAAAGGAGAAGCAATATCCTCTCATGGACCCCATCCGTGCACTGAACGGTTCAAATATATGATATATATAAATAATATATATCATATATTATTATAATTATATATATATATATCATAATAATAATAATATATATAAATATATATAATATAATAGTTCTGGTCGTTTACTTGCGACGAAGTACCCTGGATATTTTTGTGTGCATCCGAGAAGAAGGAAATAGCACGTACAATACAGAGAGGGTGAGAGGATAACAGTCACCGACGGAGAGAAAGTGGAAAACGGTCACGACGAAGTGCTAAGAAAACGAATGGATCGGATGATCCCCCGCTGTAAAACCCTGTTCTCGAATTATCCGAAGGACCAACGCTGGGATCCCTTGCGCTTCAAGGCGTGGAAACTTTTCTTGGTCGTGAACGATACGAATGATTCCGGAAAAAGAGCCGAGGAAACGCGAACGACGACGTCGTCGCAGCCACACCACCAGGAAGCGCGAAACAATTGAACGATACACGCGACGCGCGACGCACGGTGGTGACGACGTTGTCGTCCCAACCGAGATCTTATTATCGAGGAAAATTCAATTTCCGACGTCGCGTGTACGCGTTGTACACAGCGCGAAGCACGAAACGGGAAGCATCCGCGGTTTTCGATCGCGGTTGCTAAAAAGATTCGCCACGCGTCGTTACGCATTCGTTGTTCAAGCAATGGAAATCAAAACGCGCGAACGATCCGTCTGCATAATCGCGATTTCTGTATCATGAAAATCTTTAATCAGTTCGTGGATTTCGAAAGAATTAAAGCGTAGGAAATCCCGGTCGATTAAATGGAGCTCTGATTGCTGATTAATTATTATTATTTATTATTATTATCTATATTATTATTATTTATTATTATTATTATCTATATTATTATTATTTTTTATTATTATTATTATCTATATTATTATTATTTATTATTATTATCTATTAATTATTAATCGTGCATCAACGATCGATGCCGCTTCACCACTAATTCACGACAGCATTGTCATGACACAGTCATCAGATACAGGTCCCTCGACTCGTGACGTTGAAACGTCAACGATTCATGGGCTAATTGGCCGCGAACTCGCAGCAGCTACGAACACGCGTACAGCTCTACACCTGATTCGTATTGCTTCCGGCAGAGCGTGACATACAAAATGAATCTTCCGTTCTAGTGTCTCGCCGAATTCGTGCGATCAAAGGCGCCCAAGCACGATGTGAAAAATATATCTAAAGGGACTACACGATGTATATATGTACATATATGGGTAATATGTGGGTCTTAGCTGATCGANTATTATTATTATTTATTATTATTATTATCTATATTATTATTATTTTTTATTATTATTATTATCTATATTATTATTATTTTTTATTATTATTATTATCTATATTATTATTATTTATTATTATTATCTATTAATTATTAATCGTGCATCAACGATCGATGCCGCTTCACCACTAATTCACGACAGCATTGTCATGACACAGTCATCAGATACAGGTCCCTCGACTCGTGACGTTGAAACGTCAACGATTCATGGGCTAATTGGCCGCGAACTCGCAGCAGCTACGAACACGCGTACAGCTCTACACCTGATTCGTATTGCTTCCGGCAGAGCGTGACATACAAAATGAATCTTCCGTTCTAGTGTCTCGCCGAATTCGTGCGATCAAAGGCGCCCAAGCACGATGTGAAAAATATATCTAAAGGGACTACACGATGTATATATGTACATATATGGGTAATATGTGGGTCTTAGCTGATCGAGAGGGGTTCTACGGACGAGAGGCGAAGCAAGGGCGGCGAAACATGTCGAAGCAGGAGCAAGTCGCGGCGAGGCGGGACGAGACGAGGCGAGGCGAGGCGAGGCGAACCGACGCGACCCGACGCAAAACTATAGTCTTGCGTCATCGATCTTTACACCTTTTCGCACGCAGAACTAACAACGAAACGGAAACCCGAGGGCCTAATCTTTCGCTCGTAATTTATAGTTTGTGAAAACCTGTCACAGAGTGAGTCGGCAAAGCTTTATCGACCGACTGCTCCGCCGTGTACCCGCGATTGATTCGTGGCGCAACGCGCGACCAACGCATGCATCAAAGGTAGCAGAATTGTATTTTCTACGATACTTGTCTCTCGAAAGAGAGAGAGAGAGAGAGAGATACGCGTAGACACATGTACCTGTCGCGAGTTTATTTTAGTAGGCCACTGTTAACGTGGGTTGATAGGGAAACCGAGCGATCGTAATAACGTCGACATAATTCGCTTTTCATTTGAACCGACGAGGGATGTTCATAATGGAAAACGCGGGGATGATGGTTAACAACAATCGGCAATCGGTTAACAGCAACCGACTCGCAACAGCGTGGCATAGAAAAGAATGCGGCGATCTCTCTTAAGAAGAAGAAGCTGCTACGCTCTCGTTACGCAAATATGTATGTAGGAGGCCACGGGAGAAACTAGGAACAACGAACGTCACCGGCGTGTCACGACGAGACCATAGCTCGATCGACCAAACGTGCGAGTGAGCGATCCACGGAAAGACGGAGGAGGGCTGCTCTCGTCGGCCTTGGCGAAAAGAGTAGACCTCGACAGTTCGAGGAGTTGTTCGATGACCGACAAAGAGTAGGGGGGAAACAGCGAGAAAGGGAGTTCATGGTCCCCCACCGCGAACGAACGCCTACCTTCCGCTAAAATTCACGATTTACGTTGTTCTCGCGCTAAGTCGCGATTACGTTGCCGACACGATCGCCGGTGAAAACCCGCTCCGATATGTAATGTCGCCGAGTCCTGCAGCCTTGACCAATTTCTCTCCTCTCTACCCTACTGCCGTAACGATTCGCGACAGGCGCAGTGAATCTCGAGCAAGCCGATACATTTCAAAAGATCTTGATTTTCAATACGCTGGAATTCGCGACGAAAAAGACACGGTGATTCTACTTATCGACGATCGATACGGCAGAACGGGGAAGAGAAAATGAATGAACGTTCGATCAGACTGAAAGGACAAATATCCAGTGTAACTGTATAGAATGGTAACACGGTATAGATATAGGTCTGCCGTGGGTATTTATCGTGTTGACCGTATCAACGTGATATCGAAAACACCTCTGATCGGTTCGCTTGTCAAAGGGCGTGTACTCTGTGCCGCAACGCGGAGACACGTTGCTACGAAGGAACGCATATCGCGTGGCCATCGTTTATCACGATCTCGAGCGTAAGCAGGTCGGATATCGTCGATGAGAGAACAAGAACGATCTGCCACGCGGTGTATTTCCGTTCTCTCCGGGCGATACAACGAATCTTGTATCGGAATAAGAAAAAAGACAAAAATTAATCGGTAAAATGTCGATCCGTACGCGGCTACCGCCTCCGAATTAATTGGTCGAAAATCGCGAGGAAAGCGACGAACGCGGAAGAAACGTGAGAACGCGAGATTACGCGGAAGATCGTGAGAAGGCGAAAAAGCAATCGTTCGAAATATCTTTGCAGCGGATAGAAGCGGATACCGTCGCCGGCTATGTAACTAAAATGGCGGCGAGAAAATTGTACGCTTAAAGGCTAGCACGTTTGGTCGCGTACGCCTGGGTCACGAACGTTTGCACGAACAGCCAACGCGAGCAACTGCCTTCGCACGGTCCCCGTGTCGTCGACAACCTAACGAACTTTGCTAAAACGATGATATGCTCTACGAGAATAACCGACACGGTACGTGGACGGTATTCTAATGTCGAATCGAGTAGCTTCGATCGCGAGATTTCAACGAAATCAGTCGATTTGGCAGGTTATTTCGGGGGACTCGAGACAACGATCGGCGAGTCGCACGGCTACGGGGTTCACACAACCCGTCGTCAAATACATTCCGTATTAATTGCGACTGATATTTTCCGAGCTATCGTGTTCGTCAGTTTTCTCGACTCTCGAGCACGTTTACGATTGGAACGAAAAAACGACTCACCTTTGGAGTGCTGTAAGCGGCCTAGAAAATCGAGGCTTCGGCGTATTCAACGGCTCCCGTCCACTACGATCTCACAGAGTGCACTGGCGCAACGAGCGGAAACCGCCATCTTGAACTGCGTTCACTTGACGCTTTCCGCTCGTTCGAAAAATATTCATACGTTCCCGCCACTTCCCCGATCTCGTCGTACTACTAATTGTTTTAATGCCGTTCGACTTATTGGTATTCGTTATTTTCAAATTACGAATATTCGATAAAACGTGTATTACAGCGGATTACGTGAAGGGTATCGTTGATTCTCAATTGAATAATATTTGATACGGTTAACCGACATCCGTACCGAATCAGATTTCGTTCCGAATCATAATTGCGATGGCAAATAAAAATATTTCTTCGAATTATAGCGTGCAACATCTTTTAATTAAAAAAAAATGGAGATTTCAGCTTTCATTCGAAACAATCTTTCACCAAGTGACTTTAGTGGAAATTCGGCCGGTATTGTGCGTAGGTTATGTGACCGTACGAAGCCATTTTGTTTGTGCGCGGGTGCAACAGCACATGTTTACCCTATCGGTAATTTGAGTTTTCGATGAATAGTTCTTTGGTAAAATAGACCGTATCTTGCCAGCAAAATGCCGAAATCAAAGAGGGATAAAAAAAGTAATGTTTTTCTATTTAAATATGTAATTCTTTTGTTAATGTATTCCTTACAAGTGTGATGTTGTTGAGTTAACCTAACAGAATAACGTTTAAAATTACTGCTTTAAATTGTTAGCGTATTAGAAATTTAATGATATTACAAAGTAAATGGTAAATTTCTATTTCACAGTATCTCTTACGAAAACGAGTAAGAAAGGTCTGGTGTTGAAGCAACAAATCGTCGAAGATGTTCGAAATTGCGCCGAAAAATACGCAAGTATATTCCTCGTGTCCGTGCACAACATGCGTAATAATAAATTAAAAGACTTGAGAGCAGAATGGAAGGACAGTCGATATTTCTTTGGTAAAAACAAGGTGATAGCACTGGCGTTAGGAAAGTCGCCAGAAACCGAAGTTGCCGAAGGGTTACATAAATTATCTGAAGCGTTACGAGGACAATGTGGTTTGTTATTTACAAACAGACCTAAAAAAAAAGTGCGTATCGGTTTGGCAATTTTTTAAGTATAAAATCATTTAAATAAACTCATCCCTATCGCATTTAGGTGTTGGAATGGATGGAATCGTACGAAGAAGCTGACTATGCCAGATCTGGATTTATAGTAGACGAAACTATAGTATTACCCAAAGGACCATTGCCAGAATTTGCGCATAGTATAGAGCCTCATTTGAGGCAATTGGGAATGCCTACGGCGTTGCAAAAAGGTGTAGTAACATTGATCAAGGAATATACGGTTTGCAAAAAAGGGCAAACACTCACCCCAGAACAAGCAAGGATTTTGGTAAATATTTTCTGTTGCTTTCAACAGGAAAGCACTTTACTTTCATGTAAACGAACAATTGTTAATACTTCTTTTTCTTCTCAGAAATTACTCGACAAACCATTAGCTACTTTTAAATTGACACCATTAGGAGTATTCTCGAAGAAACACGGATACAAGCAATTAGTATCCGAAGACGACTACCCCAAAGAAAATATAATGGATGTAGAAGAGACTGCAGAAATGGACGATACGTGAATCGCTAGTTATTGTAATGAAATAAAATTTATTTGAATTGTATATACATATATATACTCCATATATTGTGTATAAAAATAAATTTTTTATCCTGTTATTTAATTCTGTAGAAGAATATGAAGTACTCTGTATTTCTTTGATAAACAATTGATAAACGCGAGATCGTAGATCGTTAGAATTTCCTATCATAAAAATTCTGTAATGTTTTAAAACTTTTTGTATCCATAAAAATGTTAATATCAATATGCTTGACTATATCCTGGATAATTGCAATGTTACGAGTGAGCCACGAAACTATTGCGTAAAGTACTAATTGTTCTGAGTTTTTTAAAAGGTTAATTTAAATACTTTTCCGTTGTACGCATAGATCGTGTACTATTGGTATTCAAAAACTTGGCGAAGCTCAGACCATAAAGCTATATTTAAGCTAAATTCTGATATAATGGGTACCACAGGGGCCGTAGATTTTTTGGATCTATCTGAAAGTGAACGTAACAGGAAACATAATATCGAAACACTTAAACGTGAGGTAACCAGTAAACAATTTGTCTTGAATCTGATCATACACTGTTGCGTCAAATATTGAGCCATCTGTTTCCGCATATCGCACCGTATTTGGCATCAATGCCTTCTACATGCTAAATCTAAGTCAAACCACGTAGCGCTAACTTTCGTTAAAAGAGGGCAGGTCAGTCGTAATAAAATCAGTCCTAGGCGTTACTCTGAGAAAATCTAAACCAAAAGGGAATGTAGGAGGGAAAACGACTTCTAAATTATATACTTCTAATTACAATTTATTTGAAATAAAAATTTGTACGAATCACTTTCTTTAAAATGAATCAACATTCAAATATCTGAAGGTCTTTATTTTTATGTATATCTAATTCTTACGTTTAAGCTACGTAATAATTATTTTAAATACTTTATTTTAAATACTATTAACTGTGCTGTTTACTGCATATTTTAGGAAAGGAACATGACAGGAAAAACAGAAACATTTTATTGGATACAAAAATCATGAACGAGGATGTTTCTAGAAGAAGGATTTTGAACACATCTATGTATTCTTTTGAGGTACATGATTGTTCAGTAAGTTTTCATTCACTTTGAAGTGGAATAATTTTTTTATAACTAGGCTGAGTGATTTCAATGGCCAAAAAATTGTTTTGAAAAATTGCAATTATAACGAAAATTTAAAAAATGCAATTATAATTATTAATAATAACTACAGCCAGGAATCTTAACTACCATCTAACCCTAACCATAACCTGGTTAAGTTACAGTGACCCCGTTACAGTAACCCGCGGCAGAACGGTTCATAACAATGTCAACTGATTTCAATAAAATTTACCGTATGTATATCAATTGCAGAGATCTACAAAATATATATTTGTTTTAATTTTCATTATAGGTTCAGATAAAAAAGTTGAAAAAACATAGTTTTTAAATTTTTGTATCATCCCAACCAATTGTAATTTTTGGAAACAATTTTTAGCCATTATCTAGTAAACTAATCCCTGTAAAAAAAAAAAGTAATATCACTTAGTCCAATTATAAAAAAGTTAGTCCGTTTTAAACAATGTATGAAAACTTATTGAATTGACTGCATATCGAAAAAAACTAAAGAATTCTATAACGATGTATGTACTCAATTCACCACTTCAATTTCTTAAATAAGCCTCTTTTCCAGAAACATCCTCAATTATGAACACAAAACACAGCGCCGATATGGTGATGCTTCTTCTCTTTCATCAATGGATACCACGCTCTTGAAATTTTTCTTTCCTATAAAAAAAACGGTATTAGAATAGGTCGTGATATACATATGTTCAGAAAATAAATTACTTGCATATTTACTTTTAAATAAATTACTTACTTTTACAGCAGCGTTAGATTCGTTACATCTTCCACAAGAGTGCTACTGACCTGCCCTCTTCAAGCGAAACGTTTCGCTACAAAATTGCGCCAAGACGTGCCATTGATTTAACAACGCAAAGCGTCTGCTCCCGAATACCGAGCCATTTATTTCCATATTATATACGCCAGGGATTTGGCCTTGGCAAAATACATATCAAATGCGAACCAAAAACAGTGTTTTTGCACCAAATTGTCATAAATTTGCTCATAAAGTACACTCTAATAAGCATTTTACATGTATTTGATTGAAGCAGACTTGGCTGACTGGCTACATTTTCATGTTGTGAATTTAATGAAAAGATTTATCTACGAAAGAGATGTTTACAGATGAAAACTCGTTGGCCAAGCAGAACATCGATAAACTTGGAATAATGGAATTACAAAGGAGGGACCAATCTTTTTTAGTTGAGCACCTTTGAACCTTATACATTACAAGATAATAAAATGATGTTTTCTTTTATAATGATCGCCGATATTTATTATCATAATTATTCTTATCGTGGGAAAATCTAAATGTGATAAACTGGAGATGATTAGCCGATTAATTCGTCATTTATTGTTCAGCTGGTTACAAGGTATACGACGATTACTACAGATAGCTGTTTAATTGCATCGTAATAGACAATATTACACCAGTTATACAGAAATATGGAAATTACTACGTAGACATAGTGCTGGCGTTTGAACATGATTACCAATACATGAATACTATTCGCTATTCAATACTACAACGAAAACATAAATCGGTCAATTTAACCATTGGGGACCACGACTTATACAATTTATTCCTTGAATGAATTCTGTTTGTCGCGCGAAGCTAAATTTACTCGATAAATGTGTGTTTGTATGTACTGAGATAAGCAGTATAGTTCCATTCATTAGAAAAGAAGCTTTCAAAATTTGATTTGCACTATTCAATTGCTGTCCAAGAACATTTAAGTTTCGACTGTATATTGATAAGGGTGTAAGAAACGATTTCGTTTTATTCGCTTACTTGGTAGAATATCTGAGTAAACATATGCGAAGTGCCGCCTGCACAAGAGCATATAAAATTCCCACTAAAAAAAATTGTGTATAAACAAAACTATAAATAGATTCAAATTTATTTTGTACTATGCATATCATGGTTAACAGAATAGATAAAATAATACTAAAAATTAAACATTCAATAACTTATAAGATATCATTTCTCGGTCGTTAGAATTATATACACTCTTTACAAAGCACTAATTAACATACTTTTATTACCTAAACGGATCGCCCGGGAATATTCCAAAGAAAAAAAAAAGAAAAAATAGCATTCCAATTATTGATTCTCAACACTGTATTGACCTTTTTGAAGAAAACGTAGAATACGATATATATATATATATATAGTATCGTCTTCAATAATCCGATTATTGGTATTTTCATTTACATGTGTATTGTAGCATAATAANGTCCGTTTTAAACAATGTATGAAAACTTATTGAATTGACTGCATATCGAAAAAAACTAAAGAATTCTATAACGATGTATGTACTCAATTCACCACTTCAATTTCTTAAATAAGCCTCTTTTCCAGAAACATCCTCAATTATGAACACAAAACACAGCGCCGATATGGTGATGCTTCTTCTCTTTCATCAATGGATACCACGCTCTTGAAATTTTTCTTTCCTATAAAAAAAACGGTATTAGAATAGGTCGTGATATACATATGTTCAGAAAATAAATTACTTGCATATTTACTTTTAAATAAATTACTTACTTTTACAGCAGCGTTAGATTCGTTACATCTTCCACAAGAGTGCTACTGACCTGCCCTCTTCAAGCGAAACGTTTCGCTACAAAATTGCGCCAAGACGTGCCATTGATTTAACAACGCAAAGCGTCTGCTCCCGAATACCGAGCCATTTATTTCCATATTATATACGCCAGGGATTTGGCCTTGGCAAAATACATATCAAATGCGAACCAAAAACAGTGTTTTTGCACCAAATTGTCATAAATTTGCTCATAAAGTACACTCTAATAAGCATTTTACATGTATTTGATTGAAGCAGACTTGGCTGACTGGCTACATTTTCATGTTGTGAATTTAATGAAAAGATTTATCTACGAAAGAGATGTTTACAGATGAAAACTCGTTGGCCAAGCAGAACATCGATAAACTTGGAATAATGGAATTACAAAGGAGGGACCAATCTTTTTTAGTTGAGCACCTTTGAACCTTATACATTACAAGATAATAAAATGATGTTTTCTTTTATAATGATCGCCGATATTTATTATCATAATTATTCTTATCGTGGGAAAATCTAAATGTGATAAACTGGAGATGATTAGCCGATTAATTCGTCATTTATTGTTCAGCTGGTTACAAGGTATACGACGATTACTACAGATAGCTGTTTAATTGCATCGTAATAGACAATATTACACCAGTTATACAGAAATATGGAAATTACTACGTAGACATAGTGCTGGCGTTTGAACATGATTACCAATACATGAATACTATTCGCTATTCAATACTACAACGAAAACATAAATCGGTCAATTTAACCATTGGGGACCACGACTTATACAATTTATTCCTTGAATGAATTCTGTTTGTCGCGCGAAGCTAAATTTACTCGATAAATGTGTGTTTGTATGTACTGAGATAAGCAGTATAGTTCCATTCATTAGAAAAGAAGCTTTCAAAATTTGATTTGCACTATTCAATTGCTGTCCAAGAACATTTAAGTTTCGACTGTATATTGATAAGGGTGTAAGAAACGATTTCGTTTTATTCGCTTACTTGGTAGAATATCTGAGTAAACATATGCGAAGTGCCGCCTGCACAAGAGCATATAAAATTCCCACTAAAAAAAATTGTGTATAAACAAAACTATAAATAGATTCAAATTTATTTTGTACTATGCATATCATGGTTAACAGAATAGATAAAATAATACTAAAAATTAAACATTCAATAACTTATAAGATATCATTTCTCGGTCGTTAGAATTATATACACTCTTTACAAAGCACTAATTAACATACTTTTATTACCTAAACGGATCGCCCGGGAATATTCCAAAGAAAAAAAAAAGAAAAAATAGCATTCCAATTATTGATTCTCAACACTGTATTGACCTTTTTGAAGAAAACGTAGAATACGATATATATATATATATATAGTATCGTCTTCAATAATCCGATTATTGGTATTTTCATTTACATGTGTATTGTAGCATAATAATAGTTTTCTTCGAGTGATAACAGCCCAAACGAAACTGAAAATACTATGAACTCGATTCTTCTTTGGTTAAACACAATTGTACTTTTGTATCTTTCGATGGTACATGTTAAAGATTATATTGCATGAAAGAAAAGGAGAGCGAACGAAACCATAAAAACTGGCATTGCTCTTGCGAGGGTATTTTTAATGGTTTTGTTGCAGGAAACTTAGATAAACTTAATCTATTCTATTATGTCGACGCGTACCTAGATGATGCGTTCTGAAAGACAAAGGTGTACGTAATGTGTATCGCAAAAACGACGAATGCGTTCTCGATATAATTCGGCCTAGGAAAGTGCATACCCGGAAGCGATTGACTTCCGTGCGAATTACGAGCCCGTTTTTCTACACTGAGATCTTTCCGACCGCCCGTTCGACAAATACTATTTCCACCGAAATATCACAATACACAAACGAGGTAAAGAGTCTAAGATATATGGCAATCTCACAGCACACTAATTCAACAGAGATCTCGTATAAAAATAAATAAGGATTTCTTAAACGAAGTGTTCGATAAAACTAAACTAAAGTAGGTATATAAACTATATTACATACGATACGCTAAATCCTCGTGTTGTAGAACAGTTACGATTAAAACATTCTTACCATCGGTGAACTCGGACTAAAATGGGACAAGGTTTCCCGAGAGAAGCGAACGGTGAAGCAAGTCCGTTGGTTAGATTACGTCCAATGGACCATTTTAACAGCAAATTACTGTCCACGGTTTTTATCACCGATCGCACGAGCAATCCGTTTTGATAGCTTTGAAATTAGAAACAACAAAATCAATGTTTCGACCAAGAGGAAATTCACTTTGCTCTTTAACAGCGCGTTATCCTTGGAGTATGAAGTGATTAAGTAACAACTTTCTTTCGTTCTAATGGAATTGGAATGTAATCGAATTGAATTGAATAGAATACAATAGAATAGAGAAGAATAGAATAGAATAGAACAGAACAGAACAGAACAGAACAGAATAGAGTAGAGTAGAGTAGAGTAGAGTAGAGTAGAGTACAGTATAGTATTGCAGAATAGAATAGAGTAGTACAGAATACAATCGCGTACTCGTACGGCTCGCAAATCGTCCGAAACAATGGCAAGAATCGTCCATGTTGCGTAGCGATATTTAGTATTTATCGTTATTTAGTGTCTTTCGACGAACCTAACACACCGAATGTCAAGCTTACGATCGCGTTGCAAACACATCGAGAAATAAGTCGCACCAGGCAACAATGCTATAGCCGATAATACGTGGGAGTATAAAAAGTAGCTAAATACGACGATCGTTTTCTTATTACGAGTAGATTATCGTTTTGCGCCAGTGCAAAACACGTACACACGTATATCCTTAGTAGACAGTCCGAGTTTGAGCATAAAGTTCCTCCAGCGACGCCAGTTCCGGTATCGGATCTCGCCAGTACGCAAAATTACTGAATTCGTCAGCAGCGTCCACCCTCCACGGTGGGAATAGATGGTCGACAATGTAGCTCATGTTTGAGTATCTGGAAAAAAGCAATGCAAACATTCCTTTATAGAGAGCTGCAACGGTAACCGTCGTGCTGGTCTGTCTCTGCCGAAGGATCAATGAGAGAAACGATACAAAAGGATCAAGAGCCGTTGAATCGTTCGTTAAAATGACGTTACGGAGGCGCGGCATTATATTCTTCGCAGACTATAGGGGAATAAACATCGGATAAGATACAGAGACAGATTATCGTACATCGTGATTAAGGCGTGGGTCTTGAAATGTACACACACACACACACACACATAGATGTACAACTGTTAGAGAGACTATGAAGGCTACTAGTTTCTCTCCTTTCGAACGAAAAAAAAAAGAAAAAGAAACATTCATGCGACAGTTGTTAATTTCCAAGTTTTTAGTTTCGAGAATGTATGTCTACCACAAGAATATTCGACGGAGCGAGGGAAAAATATTTCGTGCACTTGATGGAAGATTCGTACGATTCTCACAAATCTCATTCTGATATATCTCGGAATGCTACTTCCGGGAGAATCTCGATAAATGTGAAGCGGCGATGTGTTCGATACGAAGTGTGCGCGCAAAACTTAGGACGATGACGACGTTAAGACTGTTTGTAGATGAGAGGAGCCGGTGAACATGTAAGTGACAAGAAGCAGCTGCAGGATGTAACAACAAGTGCTTACCCTATAAATCGTAAGAAGACAGGTGGATGTTCTTGGATAACCAAACACATCATACAACACATGTACTAATGACGTTGGCTTGTCGGGGCGAATATAAATCTCAAGATGCCTCGCCTCGAAAGAATTTGCCATTGGACGAAGTAACGTGTTTCGGTTTAATGTGCGCACGCGCGCGCGCGCGCGGAATCTGTTCTTCTTGTAGCGTGTTTCGCAGTGTATCACACTACGGGAAGTGTATGCAGAAAAGCAAATAAAAACTTCTCGAAATCGACCCGTTAAAAAGACTAGCTGGAATCTATATGCATCGTTGTCCCCCATGACACGTAGAAAATACATTGTTCTACCTAATGGCTCACGAAATGAGGTAGTTAGTTAACTTCTATTTCTACGAGATAGATTCCCGGGCCATCGGCACGAGTAATGTTGCCTCGCAGGGCGTCGTTATCGCAACATGACTAAGTGGATCAACAGAATAACACAGTTAGGGTTGTGCCGCCATCAGTAGCTGTTTCGTACGGGCAGTGGTGGGAACAACTCATTGACGATATCGCACTGACACGCGTAGCTGCAATCACAGAAATATCCACCCTGTAAGTACATCTTTTTCTCAAGAATCACCGTGTAGACCCGTTTCAATCTTCCCTTCCAATTACAAGACTCCGTGTCTTCGGGTTGTCAAATTTGTTAAATAAAACCGATGTTTGGTCACAAAGTTTCTGTTAAACGTTCGAGTGCTCGCAATTGATTCTATGCATCTCGTTGGAATGCACTAACAGATGCGTTACAGACGGTGAAACTAATGCGACGATGTGCAATAATCATAGAAAGCATTTAACAAACAATTTTCATCCTACGAGGAACCAACCCTGTTTGTCGCAGCGCACATCGTTTACCAACTAGGTCGTCAGACTTTAATTAATTGAATAATACAATCAGGTGTCGAAAGTTAACAGATACGAAGAGACTAATAGAAACGAGTATATTTACTTACGATGATTGGAATGTCTGCGTCAATTCGTGCTTTAATTCACCTCTGTGGTTTATAGTGAATATTCGCATAGTGGGAATTCCAACAGCCCGGTATGCCCATACATCCTAAAGGACGGACGAAAAGAAATCAGATGATAAGCAACGTGATTGATCCAGTTTGCTAATCGCGTAGAAAAGTAATGCTTACATTAATTCGATTTCCATAGCCTGCGTAAAATGGTTTCGAGCCGTCGGGGAACAACGCTTGAATATCGCTAAGGCAGGATATTTTGAACTCTTCGGGTTTCTTCTCAATGACTTCGCGATGAAATGCTGAAATCAAGCTCGTCGGATTGAGAAGCAACGGGCCTTCTGGCAGCGACAGGTCGCCCTGTTTGATGCTTTTCAGGTATTCTCTGGTGACTCTGGCTTGCCCGATCGCTCTTGCCGAGAGATAGAGCAGCTTATAGCCGTTGTTCTTAATTTTCGTAAATAATTGAGCAACTCCTGATTGGGCCCAGTCCTTGCCAACGATGGGCAAAATATGACCGAGGACATCCGACTTCGTGATAGTGCCATCGATATCGGAAATAACGATTTTGTCATCCCATCTCCATTTATAAATATGACATTTGCAACGGGTTGTGCCTTGGTATGCCGTGGTCACACTGAAAACAACCTCGTTGGGACCGTCTTTTAAATTGAGGCTCGCCTGTAAAAAAAAACAAACACATTTCACATAGAGTACCAAATTTTGGTATCGGTATCGTATTACATACGTCATACAATAACAGTAGCAACAACAAAAATACATACTATTTGAGTAGACGATAATCTCAAAGTTTTACGATACTTCTCGGTGGACTCGTAATAAGGTCTCCGTTCCTTGGGTATCTTAATACCCTGCGATTTGTTTTGGTTGCTGTCGGAGTCCTCGCTGCCGCTATAACCTTCGCCCTCCCTTTCTCGATTTTTCTCTGCTTCGGCGAAACCTGTCGCGGGCTTAGCGCATTCTTCTCCTATTTCGATCACAGACGCGATCTCTTCAATTTGATTGGTAGTTCCATCTCTACCCGCTGTTTCGTCGATTGGAGTACTCTCCTTGGAATCGATCGATTGCTCCGGTGATTGTAGATTCACTGCTCCACCATCGACTGTAGCGTTTTCAATAAGGATTTAGTATTGTGAATCATCGGGATAAACATCGTGAATCATCGGGATAAACATTGCGAAAAAGACGTCTTACCTTGACTGAGTTCTTGCGGCTTTTTAGAAGGTTGCGTGGAACGTCTCCACGAGAACCAGGAACTGTAACCGCTACGACTTTCGGGCTTGCCACTAATGTCCTCTTGCTTCTTTTCTTCGTGCATTGGCAGGGACATGCATTGAGCATATAGAATCTCTATTGTACTTTGCGGCAAGTGTCTTTGGAAAGCAGCGTAGGTTATCACGATCGGGCAAGCGGTAGTCCAATTGTAAAACTTTCCATTAATCTTTACGACTAGATTCGGATTTTCATATAATTTCGGATCGGAACAAATGTCTTCGAAATGAAGCAGATTCTGATGGAAAGCTTCTTTGGAAGGACCATTTTCAGAATCCAAACCACCGCACAAAGACAAACTGATGTCCATGTTGTTGTCGAATATCGTATGCTTCGGTTCCTCAAAATCGCTATCCAACGATTTTGGTCCTCCGATAGCACCTATTACGCTATTCGGACTCTGCGGTAAACTCGGCCCATTGCCCGATTCGGTGTCTTCCTCGTCTACAGCTTTTCTGTCTAGAAACGATATTATGATCAGATCATTCTACTTAGATCGTATATTATTGGTTTAACTTAGCGACTTATTTATACCTTTCACGGCTGCCGGACCTCTGTGAGAAGAAGGGAAGTAGAGCGCCGCGACTTCAGGGTCCAGTTCGTCAGCGTTGATGTCACTCAGATAAATTCCTTCGGATTCCGGATTGTGTCTTACGCGAGAAGTTTTCTTCATAAAAGAGAACATTCCGCTGAGCATGGAGCGATGTGCCTCCGCTGCAATTGAAAAAACAATCTAGTAAAAAAAGTATCGGGAACGGTATAAGTTCAAGATAATAACAAGTATAATTTACGAACTATTGTTCGGTTGATTAACAGCGCTCGATGAGTTCAATGAATTTCTGTGAGACACGTGTCCCGTTTCTGGGGGTAAACTCGGCAGCTCGCCCCATCTCCAACTCTGCTGAAGACTCTTATCTTCCCCTTCCACGTTGTCTTGCGTGATTTTTCGCATCTCGAACTCTGTGTCAGATTGGACCGGTGAGCACGGCCTGGAATCCTGATTCCTGTTCACGTACGATCGCAATTAATAAAGGGGCTAATCGTGAGATCTCGGAGAAAACGTGGTGTATGCACATACTTGGTAACCTCGGTGTCACTGAAGAAATGAAAGTCCGTCTCTGGTCGGGTTTCAGACGGCTCTTGCATCGAGGCATCGTGTTCGATGGTTGCGTTCTTCTTTTCCATTTCTGCAACCGGACTCGGCCCCTTTAACATCTTTCATATAATGTATGTATCAATAAACGACATTCTCGGGAAAAAAATGTTAACCTTTCGCACTAGAAATCATTATGCCATGATTGGAAGTGCAAAGGGTTAACCTTTACCTCGTTGAACTTACAGGTTCACCGAGCGAGTCTTCCTGAACGGAGTTATCGTTCTCGCTGACTTCGGTTTGACTGCTGCTGCCGCCATTGCTGGCCTTCCTGTGAGATCCCTTCCTTCTCATAATACTCTTCCTTTTCCGCTTCCTCTTGGTCGAATTATTATTCTTGTTTTCTTCAACCGTTTCGTCCTTCAAATTTTTCTTACTCAACGAGGAGTTCGATTCGTCGCTGGACTTTTCTTTCGCACTGCTCTGCGCATCGTCCGTGATCGGCCTAAAGTCGTTTTTGACTACGCTAATTTTGCGAATCCTGTCCGAGGAAGTCACAGCTACAAATGACTTGGGCGTTGACTGAGCAGGGAGAACCTTATCCTCGTTTATACCATCCATATCGAAGATTTCTTCGTCATTTTTCAGAGAGTCCTGCTTCTCCTCCTCTTTCTCTTTCCAGTCACTCAACAGCGCTATCTCGAACTTGTGTCTCTGTTCGATAGGTAATTCTGGAAAATTTTCCTTGAATAATCGTTCCTTCTCTTCGCTTGCCAGAGCAGAATATTGTTCTCGAATCAATTTCTGTTTTTGAAATGTGGATACATTGCCAAAATATTCTTTGAACATCTTGTCCCTTTCCTCCGTGGTTAAAGAAGCCATTTGAAGCCATTTTTCTCTACGTTCGGCAGGCAGATCCGAAAACTGTTCGATCAAAAATCTTTCCCGTTGGTCCGGAGGTAAAGCAGACATCTCTTCCCATTTCTCTTTCTCAATGGACAAAACTGATTCTACTAGAATCTTGTCCCTTTGTTCTCTGGGTACATCGGAGAGAACATTGAATCTGGATGGTGGGAAACACGCGTTGTCCGGAATGGGGGAACAGGCCAAATGGGGTGGAATCTCTGTGTCAGTTGGAGATCCATCGGAGCCAACTTCTTCCACGAAGAAAGCTTCTCCGGAGTCTCCCAGCTTCATGTGAATTTGCCTCGGTTCGCTATTTATTTCTATGTCGACCTACAAATATTTATCATGGTAATTTAACATTCATTTTTGGACCGTACTCTAAGCCGTTTAAGCGGAAACAATTTCAAGAGAACTAGTACTAAGAGGAATATTGCTGATACTTCGGAGAACTTAATAACAAGGAGAAATACGAAGAACTTACCACTTTCTCCCTGGAACGAAGTACACCCAATTTTCCGAAACGCACGTGAAAAGGCGAGCAGGTGAACGATCCATCCGGTTGCTCGACGACGACAACGTCGATGGCACCGGTGAGCGTTGCCGCGTTGATCTCATTGTAAAAGTCTCGAAAATTGCTAATAAATTTGCCAATGTAGTTCATGCTGTACATCTTTGAGCCGACTTGTGATGAAATTCGTTCTCAAAAGGTACACTTAAAAGACAGTCTCCACCGGGTTGTATCACTTCAACGAAATTGACACACGGTGTGCGTGGCCTCGTAGAGATACGCAGAGACGAAAGACGCACGATTTTACCGTGTATTTGGTTCCAAGATATTTACTTAACCATGTTGGACAGCCGAATTTCAACGGCATCCACGAAGTTCACGAAACACGACAATCGTTGAGGAAAACAAGTGGCAGCCAGACGATCGCTGTCCGATGATGAACTTTGGAACCGAATTTCGAGGGCTTTGCGATTAAGCTGTGTCACCGACTCGAAACGATCGCGGAACTGTCAACGGAATCGCCGGCGAATTGTCCCAAAATGACACGAACAGAACGTTCGATTTGTGACGCGACCACTGCGCTGCAGTTCGTGGCGTTAGGAGTTGACGGTCGACGGCGAAAGCGAACCCACGAAAAGATGATATCCGCGATTCAGATCGGAAAGGAGAGCGTATCCAGTATCCTTTGTTCCTGGAAGGTTCGCTGAGAAATCCGATCAAGCACCAGCAGACGGTGGTCCAAGTTGACGTTAGAACTGATCACGTGGTCGGTCTCGACCAATCCCAGGCTCGATGCGCGTCGCTCGATAAGACGCGTGCTATCACGTGACCAGAATCGCCGTTTACCGCGCTCTTCGAAACGCAGCGAACCTGAAAAGTAAACGGTAAATGATAAACGATGACTAACATCGCTAGCAACGCTCCGAGATAAACACGAACTTTGTTCTAACTCTCGGTTAGAGTCACGATGATTAATCGTGTTCACATTGTTCGATCGTTCCGTGGTATCGACTCTGTTATCGAAGGCGTTCGATACACACAATACCCGATACGGCAACACGAGAGCCTCTCTGCCCGTACACACATAGGCGCAACATGATAGACCGCGCATCATTGCACGCAAGCGACGTGGGACGCGGCGCAACGCAGCCGCTTGTACTTCCGGTTTTAATCGGTTTTCAAAGGTTTGCAAGGAAAACGATTGAGAATGGTACAAAGCGAATCCAATTTTAGCGAACGTCACGCGTCGGATTTCAATGCCAGCGAAATCGTACAACCGCGAAATTTAAGCGGAGCTTACAGTTACGCAAGCTGAATGCGGTTGTGTTAGTAAACCAGAGACAACGAGTTTACGATCCGCGGATAAGCGTGTCGTTATTTGAGCCCGACGTAACCCTGCGCGCAATCGGTTGAAAAAACGTCGGATGCTTTTCTCCGGAGATCAATAACAAATTACAGATTGAAATCCGATAAATCAACGCTGAATTTATTACCGGCCGGTAAAACACGGTAAATCACGTTGCCTCGTAAAAGTGATGAGATTAAATTCATTCGATCGATCCGCACGATGACATTTTTACAATTTCAATGATCGTATTTGCGAATTGTCGATTTTGACGGTTGCTCGTCGCATAGATCGCATGTTAGACAGCAGCGTGGTGCGTGACCGGCCAATTAATCATTGCTGTCGGACATAATGATGCTATTTTCGGCTCGAGTCCAGAGGACAACAATATTACAATGGTTAATAGTACGTGGATTGTTCGTAATGGGCAACGCGTAGCCTAAAAAAGAAAAAAAAAAACAATATAAATCGATCGACTTGCATGCATTTTTACGTACGCATACAACAGATCCAAAGTCTTTCGTAATCGATGAACCGTGATTCGTAATAATATCGGCGATTCATCATTATTTTTACGCGAACGAGATAAAAAACCTTCGAACTTATTTTTTTGTCGAATCATTCGTTGCCCGTCTTATCCTCGAGGTGACAGAACGTTCAAACCAGTGAAAAGTTTTTGGGAAATCGTTGGAAGCGAGGGCGCCTCGATGAGTCGAGCTTTTGAAGAAGACGGGTTTATACTTTGTTGAACGGCAAGAACGACCATGATTTATCGTGAAGAAACGTACGATATTTTCGGCCAAAATTTTAACGAAAAGAGAGAGAGAGAGAGGGAGCGAGAGAGACAGAGAGATTTCTCAGCGCAAAGAGATCCGACCTTGCACGGCAGACAAAACCGTCCACAAACTGTCCCAATCGCGGCGACGGTTGGACGAATTTCAAAAAATCTCATCGTCGAGACTACGTTCTCTTTCTCTTTCATCAATCATCTTTTTCCTGGCTTTTTAGGCGCGCTTGTCTCGCGGGATATTCGCTCGTCGAGGAACAAGGAGGACCAGCGGAGCTCCCGGAATGGCATAAAACAGAAGTCGACAACAGATGTTCGTCGTGTGCATTGAGTTGCGAAGTGTCTGGGATTCGGCGAATCGCCAAACGCCCGGTGTTGTTGTTCGAGCCAAGAAACGGGATGGCCCGTTGCGAGATCTTCCACGGAAAAATTCTTCCGGAAATTTGTTTACGTTGTCGTTAACATCGCCGCCGTGTGACCGATTCATTTGGATCACCGAATGTTTGCGACACTCGTTCTCTTTCTTCTCGCAGCTGCAGAGCTTGTCCCCAAGTCCTAACGACTTTCGAGAGCTTCCTTCGTGACGCGAACTTTCAAACGGTAAAAGCTTGTTTACGAGTTGATTCGGTTACGACCTTTCTCTGCTTCTCTTTTCACCCCCCACCCTACACCTCCTCCCTCCTCTTTCGTTCCGTTCTCGGACATTGTTGCTTATCTCGATGGCACGCTTACGCAATCGAGACCGTGCCGAAAGTAATCGCGTCGTGTCTAGGCGGAGGGTAAGACGAGATAATAACGAGTTACAGCGCCGATTTTCGTAATCGGTTTACCGATTGTGTACTTTCGTACAGATCGATTTCGAGGAGTTCGATCGAGAAAGAAAGAAACCTAGAAACAAATCTATGTGCGAGATCTCGATGTCGGATTTGCTTTTTGAAACGTGTAATCCGACGTTATTCGACGTCCAAGAATGACTCGTAGCGTCGTAACATCTTTTTATCTGCACGGAATGACAAAAAGCCGAAGCAACGGCAACTTCATTTTCATGTAAATCCTTTCATTTTACTTTACCGATATAAGAAGAAGAAGAATTATTATTTAGTAGATCGCGGATTTTATGCATTTATGGGAAGAGTGTACAGATGAAACATAGAGCAGTGAACAAATTAAAATAAACTAAATATGTTGATACGTTAAATTATAAACTTACTAAAATTATTTAAGAGAGAAGCACGACTGCACTAGGCTCCTGCAATTGATACAAACAATTTTTATTTTGCACAACGATCTGCAGTCTAATTATTAGTTTAGCAAGAAACCAACCAACACCGGTTAAATATTGAGTTGGCAACTAAGTAATTGGCGATTTGTTCAATGAAATAAAGAATTTTTTTTACTTGGAACGAAATTTAATCTGTAATGTATTTCCCATTTTGTTCGATGACCTTTTGCCATCTCTCCGACAACTTGAAAATTCCACGCTCGTAGAAAGTCTGATCCTTTTCGGCCAAAAACTGAGTTAAGTGAGGTTTTACAGCATCATCATCGTTAAAAGTTTCACCACGAAGGGAGTTGTCCAGGGATCGAAATAAGTGGTAATCCGATGGCGCGAGATCAGAGCTATATGGTGGGTGTAACAACAATTCCCAAGCAATATCCATCAATTTTTGCCGAGTGGACAAAGACGTGCGCGGCCTAGCATTGTCCTGCTGGAAAATGACACCTTTACGATCGACCAATTCTGGTCGCTTTTCCTTCACCGCTGCATTCAATTTGTCCAGTTGCTAACATTCACGGATAATAAAAAATAACATAGTAATAATAATAATAATAATTTTATAATATAACATTCACGGATATCATAAAAATGGGAGTGAGCGACATCTATAACTG